TGCTGTTGCTGCTCTTCTTCCTCTTCTTGCTGCTGCTGCTGCTGCTGCTGCAGTACCAGTTGCAAGGGCAGCTGCAGCAGCTGCTGCTGCTGCTGGTGCTGCTGCATCAGCTGCTGCATATCAACAGCAGGATATGCTGCTGCTGCTGCTAGTGCTGCAGCAGCAAGAGGATCGTCCTGCTGCTGCTGCTGCTCTGCTGCTGCTCCCCGCCGCACCACAAACGTTTGCTGCTGCGGCACAGGACACAGACACAGACCTGCAGCAGCAGCAGCAGCAGCAGCAGCAGCAGCAGCAGCAGCAGCGGCGGCAGCAGCAGCAGCAGCGGCAGCAGCAGCAGCAGCAGCAGTAGCAGGAGTAGGAGGAGCAGGAGCAGCAGGAGCAGCAGCAAACAAAAGCAAGAGAAGCAGCAGCAACAGCAGCAGCAACAGCAGCAGCAGCAGCAACAGCAGCAGCAGCAACAGCAACAATAAAAATCAAATGACGACAAAACCCTAAAATATAAACCACTGAAATCCCCTTCTCTCACAGAGTAAGCATTAGGGTTTAGGGTTTAGGGTTTAGGGTTTAGGGTTTACGTTTTATATACAATCATAAACAGCCTCAACTCTATAACCATATCTACAGTTTAGGGTTTAGGGTTTAGGGTTTACGGTTAAGGGTTTAGGGTTTAGGGTTTAGGGTTTAGAGTTTAGGGTCAAGCCTTAAGCGTTTAGGGTTTAGGGTTTAGGGTTTAGGGTTATAGGTTGTTTAGGGTTAAGGGTTTAGGGTTTAGGGTTTAGGGTTTAGGGTTTAGGGTTTAGGGTTTAGGGTTTATTACTTTCATCATTTGCGGTGTATAAGACACAAACGAAAAGCATTTGGATGCTGCAGTTCTTCTGTGCTTCTGCTGGCAGCAAAGATGTAGTCTGCAGCAGCAGCAGCAGCAGCAGCAGCAGCAGCAGCAACAGCAGCAGCAGCGGCAGCAGGAGTTGTAGTAGTAGTAAGAGGACGAGGAGCAGCAGCAGCGGGACAGCAGCAGCAACAGCAGCAGTAGCAGCAGCAGCAGCAATGGCAGCAGCAGCAGCGACAGCAGCAACATCAATAGCAACAGCAACACAGCAGCAGCTACAGCAACAGCAACAACAGCAGCAACACAGCAGCAGCAGCAGCAGCAGCAGCAGCAGCAGCAGCAGCAGCTTACTTTATGGAAGAGTTCAATGAATTCGATATCCTCGTTGTCGCTCTGCACACACCCAACAAAACCCTAAACCCTAAACCCTAAACCCTAAACCCTAAACCCTAAACCCT